GGAAATGATCATGCAGACAATGGACCCCGGACTAGGTGCGTTCCAATAAGTCTTCCTATCAATATGATCAGAATATTTAATTTACGCCTGCTTAAACCTAAATAGTATAGAGCCTCTTAAAGATAAATCAAAATATGTACAATATAACTTGGTGCAAGCTATTTATATTCCATCAAAACGAACCAGCTGGAAGACACTAAATAATTCAATCAGATTTTACTTGCTACTGATAAACTTCGGATGGTATATTTAATTAGACGTCTTCGCCGGTCAGGTCCAACAATTTTGCATTAATTGTTTGCATAAAAAACATCATCAAACCGGTAACCTGTAGCCCGAACATAAATTTGTTAAAACAAGCTTAAAATGCATATTGCAGTCCAGAAAGACTTCGTAAAAAGCGCAGCTCTAATAACACAATGAATGTTAAATTGGCCAGTCTACTGCAGAAGTAGGAAGAATGAAATTAAGTGGATAAATCAAGTAGTCTCTTCAAAGCAGTGTGAAAACTAAGTTAACTAATGATAAACAAATGATACACTTTAACTGTAAAAAAAATGCTAAACAAAAGCAGAACAGAATAGTTATTAGTATGGGGATATGAAATTTAATAGCTATCCTGACTTTTAGTTAAATGTGACATGGTGTATTGAGAGTTTTGTGACCTAATAAATTTTATTGCATGATCCTCATGAAGGATCTAGTCTCCAAAAGAAAATTTTCCTAAAGGACAGAATGGAGGTTATACTTCGGCTGAAATTAGACAGAGAAAACAAATAATTTAAGAAAATTCGTAGAACTCGGCCAAAAATATTGGAAAGCTGCAATATTATTTGGTCCTATTGAATATGGATGAATATCCGTTTTTATCAAGTAAGTGCATGAAATCTTAGTGAGCTGACTTCTGTGTACATGCCATACACACGAGTAGATTAAGTAGTTAGAGCTCTAGAAGCGCTAAGTGAGAGGGCTCATTAATTGAAGCTATCAAATATTTCTTAGAAAGCCAAATTTTCATCACAAATACAGAGTAAAATATAGGGAAATTTAAATGCAAATTGCTTTAAAGGTTTGAATCGTAGTGATCATATGGATGTTTGTATATGTGTAAAGTATATCAGCTACACAAAAGTTAATTTATTCTTTGCTTATAAGTAGGTCTTCAAAACTACCAATATATCATATATATATATATATATATATAATCACCTTATTTTGTAAGGTCATTAATGACTGGCAAGTGAATTTCACATGAGTGGACCTGACTTAACCATTGAATTTCACATAGCCTTGCTTCCCAAAAGGTATTCGCATCCAGGATAGACGGCACCTTCGGCCTCGCCCAGGTCTCCTCAGCCCCCTCAGTGGGACCCGAATCGTGATAGTGCAGCATATAATCTTGATACATTAACCACTACGCTACACTGCCATAAATGCTTTTAAGCCACAGGGCAGATGTGAATTTCTAGGAACGCCACATCTTCCCTGTGACCCAAGGGCTGTAATTAAAGTGTGGCGTAGTGATTAACATGTCGAGATTATACACTGCACTATAGCGATTAGTCTCGCTGGAGGCACTGCGGAGATGTAGACGAGGTCGAAACTACAATCAACCCCAGAAGAGAAAACCTTTAGGGGAGCAAGGCTATGTCAAATTTAATGAAAACATAAGGTCTACTAATATTAGTAAGGGAGAATTCAACTACTAGTCCTTCGTTAATTTAACAGAATAGGATGAATACAACTCACATAATTGTTAATTTTTACCTCATTGGTGATTCTCGAAAACCTACTCATTCATGATAGCTGAGTTGCTAACAAAATTAGAGGATGAGAATAAGCCATAATGATTTATTAGTCTTAGATCTCAAAAGTTTTTCGCATCCAGAGTGAACTGCTGTTTATAACTCGTCAAATATTGGTCAGAATCGCCAATAAGCTTCTAAATGGTGATAAATTGTGGTGGATTAGAACTT